GAATCGGCGAATGCTTCGGCTTTTTCTTCACTGGAGTAGGCCAAGCCGCGTTGGCCGTGAAGAGTGGGGATCGTGGTGCGCTGACGACGAAATTTTCGCTGCATAGACCAGGCCGTACCATCCTGGGTCTCTAGTTCTGCACAGGCTGCATTCCATCTGTTGTTTTGGAGTTCCGCGAGTGCGTTCTTCAGAGCTAACGATGCTCTGTTTCGCGCAACTCTCGACTCCTCTGTCAACAGCTGGAGATGTTCTCGCTTGAGTCTTCTGTTCTCCCTGATCAGGTGCCTAATATGGTGCGGTGCTGGACCATTTAGGTATCTAGGAACTGCCGTAGTCTCGGAGCGGGTGCTGTCCTCGTGCGCTCGCAGGACAGCATTCTCCAGCTCCTCTACTGCGTTGTCCAGTTCCTCCGCTGATCGGATGGTTGGAATTTGAGTGATGTTCCTGTGGACGTTGGATTTGTAAAGGTTCCAGTTCGTCCGTTTGGTGCTCAAGCTATCTCGAGTTCTAGACCCTGTACCAAGTGTTAGTAGAATCGGATTGTGGTCCGACGATCCTTCCACCAGGGTCTCTATCTCGAACTCCTCTCTGATGTTGCGGAGGATGGCTATGTCCAGTACCGCAGGTCGCCCAAGGCCGAATGGAATGTAGGTTGGTTGCTCCGGACCGACGATGACCCCCGCCAGGGCATCGACGTGTTCCTGGAGCTGCCTTGCATTCCTGTCTTCGACGTTGTTGTTCCAAGCCGGAGACTTGCAGTTTAGATCTCCGATGACTATGCGTGCTCCTGGGCCTCTCAGGAGGTCAGCGATGTCATCTTCGTCTAGGGCCTCCCCTGGTGGCACATATAGGGAGGTGATTCTGTAGGGACGGTGGTTGTGATGGACCTGGACCGTGATTCCGTCCCCATTTATGTCTGCGGCATCGTCGAGGACATGACTCGTCAAGGTACGTTTGACGAGTAATGCGACTCCTCCACCTCTGCCCCTTCTGTCGTAGCGGTACGTCTCGTACCGCGGGAACGTCAGACTATGGGCAGCATCCAACTTCGTTTCTTGGATGGCCATCACCTCTGGTTGGTACTGGTCTAGTATCTCCTGGATTTCTGGTTTCCGTGCCCTGAAACCGTTGATGTTCCAGGAGATAATGCGTAGAGATTCTACGTTTTGACCTGTAGACATTTCGGGTCTAGTGCTTGTCTTGCATCTTGGCCTCGAGTGCATCCAGGCGGGTTATGATGGCTTGCATCATTGCTAGCAGTCTGTCATCGCCGTGTTGCTTCTGCGCAGTAGTTCCAGTAGCAGTGGCGGCTGCTGGGGCAGAAGTGGACATAGGCTTCTTCACTTTTTGGGCGTAAGAAGTCCTATTTGTGGTGGGGACTGCTTTGGGGGCAGAAGCAGCTTTCTTCGGCGCCTTACTACATCCCTTGTAGTTGGCGGGGTGGCCTTCTCCACAGAGGCAACACTTGGCGTTTCGTTGCCCTGTTGGCGGCGCTGGCAGACTGCAGCTGGTGCTGTTGTGGTCCTCTCCACACTTAACGCACCGTTCAGCGAGACGGCAGTTCCGCTGTGTGTGCCCGTACCGCTGGCAGCGGTAGCACTGGCTGGGCTCGGAAGACTTTTTCTTCCTCTCGAAGCTGACCGTGAGCATGGCCAGCCTCTGGATCTCTGCAAGCTTTTCCGGCATCTTCGTCTTGACGAGGAAGAGCGGAAGTGGCTTCTTTGTGGTCCTTGAGGTCAGCTGCTGAACCACGGCGTCTGCGATGCCTTGGCTCACCAGATCCTCTTTGATGTCATTGACTGACATCTCTCTCGGAAGCCCACGAATGACCCTCTGGTCCATCCTGTCCTCCTTCAGTTGATATGTGAAGAAGGGCCGCTTGATGGATTCAAGCAGTGCGACTAGCTGACGGTAGTCAGCTGGTGTATTTGTGAATACCTTCACACTGGTACCCGCCGTCCTCGCTTTGGAGAATTGAATCCCCTTGCTGTTCATCATCCTACTCAAGGATGACCAATCAGCGGTGCCCTCGATGTTGATTGGCGGAACTCCTGTTCCTGCCATGGGGGCCTCGGTGGTCCTGGTTGCTCTAGGACCACTCTTCTTTGTGGCAGCTGGCATCTTTCGCTGCCTGTGTTCTTCTTCTTCTTCGGAGGAGGAAACTCGCACCCGCTTCCTCCGTCTGGTGGCGACACTGAAATCGGTGTCGTCCGTCCTCTTCTCCGCTTCTTCTACGTCGATGTTTTGGGCATCCATGTCCAAGTTCTCCGTAGGCTGCTGGTCCTCCTCTCCGTGGTCCTCTTCTTCCTCCGTCTTCTTAGCTTTCCTCTTTGCTTTGAGGAGCTTCCTTTTCACCTCATCGATTTCATCCCTCGCCCGCTCAAATGCTTCTTGCAGATTTTTCATCTGCTCAGCAAGCATTGCAAAATTCTCTTCTTTCTGCTTCAGCTGGCTCGCCAGCTTCTCTACTTTCGCCATCGTGGATGGCGATCGTACCGCGATGAAAATCACAGTAGGATCGCACTGTATGTCCGGGTGGGTCGCAGTCGCACGAGTGTATGCTCGTGACGGCTGCTAGCTCGGAACTGGACGTTGAGGTGCTATGTAGTATTATATATACCGTCTCATGCCCATCTCCCCCCTCTTCAACTCTCTGCCGCGCACACCCCTACTCACTGCCGCAAACCAACTAATTACATAAATTGCTACACGTTAGCCCCTTCTGTCCAAAAGGGTGGCTGAAGGGCGAGAGGGGGGCTGGGGGTGAGACGGAAAGCAGCGACGGGAAGGGGTTCACTAAATCGATGTCACGCGCCATACGACTAAAAGAGGGATCGCTTAGGACAGTGGCGGGGTAAAGTTGAAGCTAACTAAAGTGAAATCAAAAGCATCGAATTGAACCTTTCTCATTATACTTCTGGGCTACATCTTGACATTGACTAACATAATCCATCGCTTTATTTCGACGTCCAATATAAACCGTCCTGGAATATGTGTGCGCCATCTAACCATCAGTCAATTCACTACACACCCCTACATAACCTTAAAGACTAGTAATAAAACGTTTTACCTTCATTTTGGTTCTAAGTTCAACCAATATATAGCAGGCAATCAACGTGCGCCGCACCTTCGTCACCTTCTTACTATTAGCTATACTACACTGAGAAAACGTGGTCAATTAACATTCACATGACGAAGCTAAAATATTATCAAAATAAGTAATTGTTCGTAAATTTCAACATTCTTTTCATATCTTTATTTTTTAATTGCATTTATTTTATTGTACCTAAATATTATACAGAGACATTTTATCAAACCAAAAAGCATTAAATCAAAACTAAATCTAAGTTTTTTTTTTAATTAATTTCACACCTTCAGACAAAATTTCCCCCATTGTGTCATCTCATTAGGACTGAAAAGTGGGAGTGGTACTTTCTTGTTTATTACTTGATATCTGCTATAATAGCAAAATAAATGAAATTCAAAACTGAAAAATCGTCTTCCTTGAAATCGAAATACAGGGTGCGGCAGAGAGGACGGACGTTTTTGGGATGGGTCTCCGCCTCCGTCTACGAGAGAGGTGGGGAGGGTGCCGTTTGACTCGTGAGAGTTGTTGTTATGGAGCCTTGGACGGTGGAGCACCGCGTTTTCGCCTATGATTGTTTCGTCCGAAATAATGAGTCAGTCATCGTCGTACAGCGTGAGTTTCGTCGCCACTTCAACATTCATCGGAATAGAGCTGTTCCCTCTCGAAACACCATCCTTCGTGGGGTTGAATCACTTCGCAGGCGTGGTGAACTGATCAACAGAAGACCAAGAGGAGCGCCGCGAACAGTTCGAACTCCTGAAAATATTGAACGCGTTCGACAGGTCTTTCTTCGCAGTCCGACTCGATCTGCCCGGAAACATGCTGCTGCACTTCGCCTTAGTGATCGTTCGGTAACGCGAATTTTGCATATGGATCTCCGCGAAGCTGTGCGACAAGTTGCTCAGTCCTGCTGGAACCACACGTTTTGCAGGTTCATTTGTTGGATTTGAGGAGCCAAAAAGTTTTGCACCACATCACGGTAGCGCTCGCCAGTGACAGTTAGAGAATTACCTGCAGCGTCTTCAAACACACCTCCATACCGAACACCGTACCATACTGTGACTCGACGTGGATGTAGTGGTCGTTGATGGATGACACGAGGATTCTCTAATTCCCAGATTTATGACAATTCTGCTTATTAACGAATCCGTTCATATCGAACTGTGCTTGATCGCTCACTATCAAATGTTGGTAAAAATCGTTATTTTGGGTATTCAGCTGCAATATTGCATGACTGTATTGTCGGCGACTTTCATGGTCACGAGGCTGTAGTTCTTGGGGTAATTGAATTTTGTATGGCCGCAAATGCAAGTCTTTTTTTAAAATAGTGCATAATGACGTGCGACGAATAACCAGTTCTTGAGAACGATGTCTGATAGACGTCTCAGGGCGCTCCACTACACTTTCACGAACTCTCTCGATATCTTCCTGAGTACGAACAGTTTGAACACGGCCCGACCATTGCAAGTCTTTAACTTCACCTGTTTGTTCCAATTTTCGCACCAACTGATGAATGGTCTTGACACTGGGCACATTATTTCGACCGAAATCTTGTAGCTTCCGAATCGTTGCAACAATCGACTCATTATTTAAGTAAAATGTTTTAACAATACGGTAGCGTTGTGGGAACGTATTTTTCAGACGAGTTAAAAAAGGTTGAATCATCGCTGGGTCAAGTGTATCGAGCTAAAAGGTGACTAAGTTGAGAAATAAATCACCCCTTTTCCAAAATTTTCGTGTTTTTTTATAGGCTAAGTACTTATCGGAACGCCCTCGTATTCCTCATTTTATCAGCGTTGTAACTTTCCTACTACATCTACTGTACCTACAGAAATGATATCCCATCCACATCTAGATACATTGCGTCGTCATCCTCCTGTTTAGCTACACTAATTCACTTTTTTGTTTTCAGACTGAAATAGCGAAACGCCTAAACGCCATCATTGCCCAAGTACTGCCCTTTCTGGCCCAGGAACATCAACAGCAGGTAGCCACAGCTGTTGAGAGGGCGAAGCAAGTCACCATGACAGAACTGAATGCCATTATCGGGGTGAGGAACATTTTCGGGATTACTTGACATGCGCGAATTGGCTTTTGATTTTTTAGTACACCCTAGTTTTGGAATAGCAACAGATAGCAGCTTCGTAAAGACTAATAACAGTTCGAACATTCAGTCATACATATAGTAATACGTATTCTAGTGTAACCTCTTAAGTATTAGCTAGATGGAAATATATATGCCAATACCCAATGATGTAGATGAATTAGACCATTTTTTAAATCACCAGGCTAAATTTCGCAAACTACACTCAGGTGCAAAATAAAGTCAACACGCAAAATTTTTGTCAATTTCGGAACGTCATAACTTTTTTATTTTGAACTCCATTTTGATTAGTTTTCCAGCATTGTCTTAGTAGTGGTTATAGTAGTGTTGTTGGGGAGGCGAAACCTGATAACTAGGCACCTTTGGCAACTTTGCCGACCACGTTGTACCCACACTGTACTACTCCGCATGCCATCTACTGAGTGATTATTATGGCCACCGTTTGACTTGTACGAGGTAAATCAAACTGGTGTTTCAGTGCTCCAACTCTGAATTACCCTGTGGTGATGTGACATCAGTAGCCATCAGATGGCGATGCTTTCCATTATCAAGGACCATATATTCTCTATGATCTGTTTTTTACTCACTTCAATATGTTCAGTGGTTGAAGTTTTAGAGCCAAATCAACTTTTTACTTCCAATTTGCATCTTTCCTTTTATAATTACTTTTAATTCCCGTACAAATTCAAACATTTTTTATGAAATTTTCCAAAAATCCATAATCTTGGTGTGTTCCGCTTACGTTATTTCGTTTTTTCTATAGAGTTAAATCAAAATTTTCGTCTTAATTTCAGAACACCCTGTATAATAATTGTATGCTCTAGCCTTCTGAAATGCAATTTCGTGTCAATAACCATATCTCTTCATGCTTTAATTTTGTTTTTTTTTTGGCAATTCGAGTGAGGATTATTCTTTTGGAACAAAATGCAGCAGCATTTCACAAATTTTAATCAGCATACTCTTTATATAAGCGCGGCCCTGTCGTTCTTGGGTCAAATATTACTATCACATAGTTTTTAATTCACTTTATGCATGCATCACGGCACAGGGTTATTCAAAGTAAGGGTAATGAAACACCATTTTAAATTTCACTATACAACATGTCAAAAGGAGCCATCATCAAAAATTAAATATACAAATTAAAGCCAATGAGTGTACCTATCGCCTGCTGGAAAAGTTATCAAATTGGTGTTATGATCCGATATTGACCAAAATTTTGCGTAAACTTTCTGACGTTTTTTATTAAATGCATAAATTATAATGAAAAATAAACTTATTTCCATTTGTTTTGGACAATTAGGTTAAAAAACAAGTCACATACATATAAGGGATTTGATTAGATCACATGTATTCCTAAATATCATAAATAAATGTTACCGTATGCAAATTTTATACCCGTCGAATACAAGTTTTTTGCATTCGGATTAAACTACACGGCGCCTAGGTGTTACTTGAGGTTATTTCAAGAATCGCATTGACTACATGACCTCCTCACTCTATACAAGGCGCATATAAGCCTCGAGTACTCGTATTGCTCGCTGTTTGGTGTTCTGCCGCCCCAACGACATTGTTCATGCTCGATGCTATCCAGAAGAGTCCGACTGATCAATGACTCTTCTCTAACAGACAGTCTCGGGGCGCTTTCGCACCGGCGGGCTGTCGGCGATCTAGCCCTTTTACTACACCAACGAGCTTTGCTCTTCATGATCCAGAACTGACCGATACGACCGCCCCTTTGTCCCTAGGGTGTAAAGATTCTGCAACAATTTCCCAGTTCTACTAAACTTAGGCAGTTCGAAAATTGGATTAACAAAGTTTCTTTGGCATTCTCATAGCAGTCGCGGTGTCCTGGCGCTACAGCTCCTGTGTAAAAAAATATTGGATATATACTCGTATATATATAAATTTTAACTTAAATAAAATATATACGTCACCTACTTATCAATATGGATGTTTAATACGATGTATTTTATAAAGAGCGTTATATAGTCTAATTAGATATAGTTTTCCGAGGGTCATACATTTTGGTGGGAAGTTGTGGATTGAATAACATGGACATCTAACAACCTTGTGTAATCCATTGCTCAAGAATCAGGAGGTATCCTCATCCTTAGATACCACAGCATGTAAAAAAGGAAAGTTTATATCTCAGCAACTCCATAGTATTGTAGTGGCGATAGAAGGACGGCCTCCCCCAAAATGGTTTCTCGTGAGCGAGTAGCGAGGTTATCACAAAGGAATTACTCACTTGTTAAGATAATTTTTTGTGCATACATTTCATAGTCCATGCTTTATCAACTAGAATATAGCATTCAAAAAATTCGTCCAAGTTTGTTGTCAATAAGTACAGAAATTGATATACATTTTTGTTGCCAGACAAGCTTGTATGTTAGTCAACGCCCGAGGAGTTTTTTTTAGTAGATATGACATTCGACAGGTAAAAGAAAGCACTGTAGTATATCAATTGTTATGCTAAATTCAGTTATCTGTTGCTGTTTCTAAATTTTTTTTAAAGTCCAGCATCTCATGATTTTTTAGATAAAAAGTGGATATATAGTATTTTTGTATAAGGTAAACTTTCCATATTTTGTCGATGGGCGGAACATTATTTGCGCCTATACCCACTTTTTACATACTAGGACGTGATATACTGCAATTAATTTTTGTTTTTGATATTACTGGTAGTGACCTTAATGCATGATGTACTTTACACACTATTTTTTTTCTGTCATTCGCACCCAGATTTTTGAACTAGTTTTGTTTGGTTTGCCACTGGGTGTTTTATTGAAGATAAAGGTGAAGGTCTGAATTTCCTATTGAAAACCTAATAATGTTGTTGTTTACAGCAACAGCAACAACAAGGTCTACAACAGTTGCTTGTAAGTAGTTTCTGTTAGTCGTTACTGAGTTGTAGCTAGTTAATGTAGATAAGACGTACGAAATTGCTGATTATCGACGAAACAAATCTTTATTCCAATAAACTTTAAGATTCAAAATAGAGCGTGACATTGTCAGTATACTAGAAGGCAGTCAAAAAATATCCCAGAAGGTACTATAGATTGGATTAGATTATTGAAAAGTTGTCTTGCTAGACTAAATGCCACCGCTAGCCAAATTCATCTATTGTGACTCAATAGCCTTGATACAGGGTTTTTGCATGTAGCTGTCTGTCGCTGAATATGTGATTCCTAATATGTGAAACCTTAACATGGGCAGAAACGATGGGATGCACTGGGGTTTCTCATGACCTCTTCTGCCAGACCCAAGAGCCTCATATGTCAATTTAGATGACCAGGTTCTGTTTGGAGGCCCATTATAGCTCTTATGGCCTTCTTATTGAATCCTGGCAGGTCATCTGTAAATACAGGCTTTCGTTCTGTGAGTTGCCTTTGACCTTAAATGGTAACATCAAGCATCATTATACCGAGTGTTAATTATGTGCCACAAATTTAACATATGATTCTTTGAGTTATTTTAAGACAAAAAATTCATATAATCAGAGGTCCGTAAATTCTTCTTTCTCTAGATGTAGGGTGTTAAAATTAAAAAAAAAGTTTTTTCGTAAATTTCTTAAATATCATTTACCTTACATTGTTGCAATTTGGCGGTGGTATTTATAACATTAAGGAGGTAATGTAGTCCAAACTTATGTAATTAAAGCGTCCAGTCCAGTGGCGTCTCGAGTAGGATCTGAACGAATATTTGTGACAAAAAAATGTTGGCGACCGACTTGTGCAATTTTTATTAGGTTCGTTGGATTAAGCAAATAGAAATACAACTTTTTTCGCTCTTGAATTTTGTGGGTATCTTGCTTAGTTTCCAAGAAAGAAAAGTCTACTCGATTGCATATCTCTGGACCACACCAGGAATATGGGGAATAGTTTCTTTTGGAAATTATTATTTTTTTATAACTTTAATTACTAATTAGATAACAACACCAAAAAACACTCAGTTAAATTACATTGACATTAAACTAAAGAATTTTACTAAACTAAGGAATAGTAAATAATAATTAAGGGTTGCTTTAGAAAACGATTGCACCACCTAGTAAACAACTTGACAGTTGTCAACAAAAATGTTTGTGAAAAGTGTTTTTAGTGGTTATTTTTTGTCCAATATGGTTCAATTTACTAATAGTGAAATGGCTGGTATGCATTTCTATTATAAAATGGCTCATGGAAACTCTGATGCTGCAAGGCGCATTTATCATGAAAGATTTCCTCATCGTGTAATGCCGAATAGAAAAACTTTTGTAAGTCTTCATGCACGAATTTCAGAAACAGGCAGCTATAAAAGTTTGACGATTGTCATCGGGCAACGGTACGAACAAATAAAATTGAAGGATCTGTTTTAAATGAAATCGAAGCAAATTCTCATACCATTACTCGGAAATAGCTGAAGAACTTAATATTACCTATGTCACAGTGTGGCAGATTTTAAGAGACCAGCAGCTGTATCCATATCATATGCGACGTGTGCAAGCCCAATTGCTTAGAGATTTGCATATAAAACTGCCTTTTTCTGATTGGTTACGTAGTAAAATTATAAGGAATCCAAGTCGAATATGTTTGTTTTTCTCGCAATTCAATTATTAACTTCCACAACAATCACATTTGGGCCGAAAACAATCCACAACATAATGTTCAATAACAGTTTTCTTTTTATATTTGGGTTGGAATTATTGGTGACCATCTCATTGGGCGTAATTTTAACTTTAGAATTTTGTTTCATCTGGACTTTTAGAAGAAGTTACAGTCATGAAAAGATTCTGTATGTGGTATATGCACGACGGGGCTCTACCAAACTTTAGTGTAGTGGCGTGGCAATTTTTTCAGAAGAGCTCGTAATCCAATGATGAGGAGGCTAGACGGTTGCATTGAAGCTGAATGGGGTCATTTCCAACACTCAATTTAGTAAATTTTGTTAGTCTAGATGTCAGTGATATTTGGTATTTATTGTTCTTGTTACATAATTAGTAATAAAAAATTATAAAAAACAATTTCCGAAAGAAAACTTTGTCTCATATTCCTTGTGTGGTCCATGGTTATGCAATTTTTTCTCGAAAACTAAGCAAGATAAGAAAAAAAATCAAGAGACAAAAAGTTGTTTTTCTATTTGCTTAATCCAAAGAATATAATAAAAATTGCACAAAAGTCAATAGCGTACATTTTTTTGTCACAAATATTCGTTCAGACCCCGCTCGAGACGCCACTGTGCTTGATAAATTTAATCAAGTTAGGGCTAAGTTAGCTCCTTAATGTTATAAATACCACGGCCAAATTTGTAACAAAATTATGTAAAGGCTAAAGATATTTACTGAAAACCATTTTTTGGAAACTTTGACATAGTGTATCTTGAGAATGAAGAATTTGCGGGCCTATGCTTATATGAATTGTCTTAAAATTACTCAAAGGATCATCTATTAAATATAATGGTACATCTGTCTGATCGTATAATGCACTAAAATTTAAAAACCTTCAATAAGTTAAAAGCCCAGCTTAACCAGTTTGTCTATTCTATTGTTTTTACTGTTTGCCATTTTTTTCAATGCGACAATTTAAAATCTATGTTGGAGGAAATTATATGCAAGATAATTGATAATACGAAATCAGAATCACGGAATCAGGATAAAAGGGTATTTTCAGCAATTTTCTACGTACTTTGTATATCGCCCATGCGTACGACAAAAAATATATACTCGTATTAATACATATTTTTCACACTCGATGTGGTTTTAATAAAATTCAATAAAAAGTCATTTCATATACCATATATACTCATTCAAATACGAGTATAATATATTATTTGAGCTCGAACTTTTATACATGTATTATAATTGATATAAAATTAATTATCTTCATATTCATATATACAGAGTGATAAATTGCTATAGGGATTTTAACAGAGTCGATGTTTTTGTTGTTTGAAAAGTGAAGAGCTTGTGGGGTAAAAAATAATAACAATCTAAAGCAGAAAATACATTCAAATTTAATTATGGACAGAGCAAGAATACAAATAACGTTATGGTGACAGAATAACGCTTTAAACAAGTTTCAAACAGAAATTCATCAATTTCAACGTATTTGCAAAGTTGAAAAGACTCAGGTTGTTATTAGAGAATTTTAAGATGTTTCTGGAATACCATATAAAATTATCTCCAAAAAAGAATAATCTGAAATGGAGACATAAAATATGACCTTAGATGGCTCATTTCAAAAATGGCGTCAAGTGGGTTGACTGCACCTCCTACGTAACGGCGCAATTTATCAATATTATCCTGAGACTTTCAAGCTGTCAAAACAATCTGATAATTAAATATAATCAACAACCGTAATCTCAATTATATTGTAAAATAGCCTCTGTTGAAGAATAATTACTATTAGTAATATTCAAAAATTCACAAATCGTTTTTACCAATGACAATTCTGTGCAGAACAAACCAAAGAAGCTCTACATGAATGCACACATTCACCTAGAGAATTTTCATTACCATTATTTAGCCAGAGAAATGCGAGAAATAATTGCGATATCTCGGGTTAGTAGTGAAAAAATATTCATTGTTTTTCTTCTCCGAAGGTCCAGATATCCCAATTTATCGGCCTTGATTAAGTCTAAGCCTGCTTTCACTGTTTTAGTAATTTTTGCGAGTAATTTTTATGATTTACTGCTGTCACTACATAAAGACTCAGGCTCAGCCTATTAATAGTATGAGCTAATTATACAAATGAGTGGGACTGGATTAAAATTTGAATTTGTCTTTATAGATATAAACAGTTTATTTTAATTTTAGAAATCCTGGGGGCAACTTCATATACCAAACCAAATGTCATTTCTCATCTTGTAAAGGATTCAAGTAGATCATAGATCCAATCCGCTACGATATAAACGCCTACCAAACATAAACGCAGTGACTATCCATCCCTAGTATATTGACTTTTCTGTAATTGGGCAGAGTAAATTCTAAGTGCCTGACATCTCAAAGGTGCCAAGAGTTATGAAGGATAAAGAACTTATTACTTGGCACATGCTATTTCATAATTATTATAAAGGTATTATATGTCTAGAAAACAGGTAAAAAGCTAGATGTTTTAATTTTAGAGCGAGAAGAGACCATTTTGTTTTAATATAACTAAAACGACATCACTATGTGCATCTTGAAGCTGATAATTCCTGATCCAGGTTCATTTGCGCCAAAATATATGACAAACGGCATTATATAATCAAACTCTCTTCATTTTTCTGTCTATACTTAAACTAAAAAAGAAAAAATTGAGTCACCCTTCAGCTTCAATATTTGGAGGTCTCTATACAAATTTTAACTACAACGTTCATTTAACGGTAATAAGTATGATAAAATAATCAATTCTCAAATTTTGTCGTACGTCTTGGCGATCTTAAATATGTTGTTTGTGATAGATAACTCATATAACCTGGGTTTTGATACTAACATAGTAGATTGCGTGTAGCTTGAAACAGTTATTTGTTTGAGTTGGAAGTTAGCCTAATAAAGGTTTCTGTTTGTTTTTATCATGAAAATAGCATGATGTCAGCAGCAGTTTTCTGATATAGATATCATGCAAGCAGTAAAATGATGTCAATCGAACACGAATTGCTACAAAGGTGCATCATATTTTATGTAGCAACTAATTAAAACTATATAACTACGGCATACTGTGCGGGGCGTTTACGATCTTGGTACAGGAATGAATTCACGAGTACAAATATTATTTCAATATATTTATCACAAAAACATTGTATCCATGCTAAACATAGAATAACTTTACGTTATCGAAAAGCGTTACGCAATTTTAATTTCGCATGAGATGTGCAGGGTTGATTACCGAGATACACGAGCGCATCTTTTGTAGTGTTTATTTTA